CGTTACAGTATCTACCAACACATACTAAACCGTTACAGTATCTACCAACACATACTAAACCGTTACAGTATCTACCAACACATACTAAACCGTTACAGTATCTAACAACACATACTAAACTGTTACTTTCATATCGTTCACATAATAAAAGGTTTAAATAGTTGAGCTCTTTCTTCTGGATGCCTTAACTTTTTATACTTTATTATTTTTATTATGAGTAATCAAATAAATCCTCTACCTGTTTATAATTTTATGGGAAAGGACAAAATAAATCTTGATAAGGGTGTAATAAAAAATATAAAAGTTATTAAAACTGCTAAGTGACAATAAATAGAAGGAATATTTTTATATGCATCATAATCAACATGAAATGTGTTTTTAACTCGTTTATCTTGTGTTATAAAAACATCTCACAATAACATACTAATAACAATCACTAATTATAAAATTAATTCTCAAACCTGTTCTGTTCTTTATGAATACTGATAATTACCTGTCAATCTGATAATTCAGAGTTCGCTCGGACAGCGTTTCTTTATAAAACCTCATGCTGGAAGTGATGGAATTGGTTATCCAGTACACCATGACATTGGTCAAGAGTTCGTCTAGTGTGAACTTTTCTGTCAACCCTCCATCGGGCAAATTTACGTTCTTTTTATCAGTCCAAGTGGAGAATTTTTCTAAGATGTATGCAGCCAGACCAGCAGGAGAATCACTCAATCCCATACCTGCACACAGTTAAATTATTTAACATTTCTATTATTTTAGACTTTTCAGTAACTATAGAAAGGCTTCCATGATTAATGACAATAGTAAAAGTAATTAAAAAAATTATTAGCCAGAGTTAGAGTAAAGCCAACGTTTGATGATATGGCTCTAAAAAAAGAAAATATTTCGTGATGTTGAAAACAACACTTATATATCATCTAGTGATCACAGTTGAACACTAAAAATATTGAAATACACATAGTTAAATTACATTTAATAACAGATAAAAAATGTGTATTATATATATATTCTGCAGACACCCCTTATGAAAACTGTTATGTACAGATTATTCAGAATTTACTGGTGTAAATGTTCACTAGCTGTATAAAAAAATATATATATACACACAGATAATACATTAACAAATTCTGAATTCTAAAACAACTGCCAAAAAAGCTTTATATATATATATATAAAATCCTGTAGCCATCCCCCCCCAGTGAAAATGTTTGCTCCCGAGATTTGTCAAACACAGTTAATTGTTTGTTTTGTAATTATTTCTATGCTGTGATACCATAATTTCCTCTGTTACCCCACAAGCAATTTATTGTAAAAATGTCAAACAAAATTTGGTGCATCAACTAGAGACATCTGGTGAGAAAACAAACAATAAGGAGAGAAACTCCACTTGCTGGTCTTCAGGAAATGTTATGAATATACCAATAAATAATAAGAATTACAAAATAATTCATTCCATATCACTGGAAAACTTGGAAGACATAATAAAAAAAAATGACAATATAATTCAGAAATAAATTTCTTACCTACAGTGTCAGGTTTAGTACCCTGTATGTGAGCATAACCTGTTTCCTTTAAGAGAAAATAAAGTTTCTCCATGAATGGTGAGAAAAGATGTTTTTGCTGAGCCGGAGTATCAGCCACCAAAGAGGGAAAAAAGCAACCAATCAGCTGCTTCAGAATGCCTTTAAAACTTCTTTGGCGTACCATGAAGTTGAAGTGAACACCTAGTACACTATAGAGAAGATATACATCAGATAACCACTTTTCCAACAGGAAAAAAACAAAATTCCCTCATTCACTGTCAAAACTAAGAAAGTTATAGATAATAGACCAACATCATTCACTTGTACCATCGAGAAACATTTATAAAAACAGCGGCTACCAAAGAAAGAGGGTTATATTGTATATAATAAAATGTGGTGAAGGATGGCTCGGTGGAAGGAAGGTAAATATTATTATTACTGGAGTTCAGTCTAACTGAGCTTAAGTTAAAAGTGGTGTGCCTCAAAGATGTGTATTGAGACTATTATTCCTCTGTGGTTATATTACTGACGTTGTTCGGGACTTTGTCAGGAAACTCAATTAGCTGATAATATAACAATCTCAGATCTGGCTGGCTGCAATAATTATAGATCAGTTAGCTGGTTGAACAAATAAATGGGATTTAATTATGTAAAGTATAAGATTATACATGTAGGTTTTCATTATATAAATACACATATCTTGAGTTTATAGAACTTTTAGGCCTTTGAGACTGAGTTCTGTTGCAAATAGCAGAGCTAACGGAATTAGGGTTATATATATGAAGGGAGGACGGTTATCATGAGGATAGGCTAAGATTTCTTAACTTGCTGAGTTGTAAGGACAGTAAAACCAGAGGTCCAAATGTATTACCACTTGAAGCAGTCTTATTTAAGCTGAGATTTCTTAACTTGCTGAGTTGTAAGGACAGTAAAACCAGAGGTCCAAATGTATTTCCACTTGAAGCAGTCTTATTTAGGCTGAGATTTCTTAACTTGCTGAGTTGTAAGGACAGTAAAACCAGAGGTCCAAATGTATCTCCACTTGAAGCAGTCTTATTTAGGCTGAGATTTCTTAACTTGCTGAGTTGTAAGGACAGTAAAACAAGAGGTCCAGATGT